ACACACACACACACACACACACGCACACACACACAACACACACACACTCACACACACACACTCACACACACACACTCACACACACACACACACACACACACACACACACACGCCCACACACACACAACCGCGGCAACGGCTTGACCTTTCTGCCCGCGCGCTCGCGCGAATACTCGCCTCGATGGGCACAGCTCGCGTGGCGAATACTCGTGACTCGTGCCGCCCGGGTGCTCATTCGTATTGGCGGCGGGCAACAGGAGGGCGGCTCAGAGGGGTCGGCCTGCTGAGAACCCCCCCCGCCTCTGCGAGGCGGCGGGCGCGCCCAGCCCTCCGAGTGGCCAGCCCCCTTGGGGAAGCTTTGTGCCTTCTTTGGAGGCCTCCGTGATGGGACCCACATTGTTCGGGCTCGAGGATCGCACCGCGTCGGCGACGCTTCGGCGACGTCGGAACGGAGAAATGGGAGTCTTCCTCGTCTGACCCAGAAGGGCCCAAGGACACACAAACAAGTGGCACGCGTGCCATGGCTCTTGCACAAAACGGAAGGGGAAGGAGGAAGAGGAGGAGGAGGAGGAAGAGGAGGAGTAGGAGGAGGAAGAGGAGGAGGAGGAGGAGGAGGAGGAGGAGGAAAGAGGGGGAGAAGTCTCGGGGGGGTGGGACGGCGGGGGCGGTGCGAGGCAGAAATAAAATGGTCGGAGCGGAGGGGGGGCGGGGTGCACTGGGCGGGCGGGGAGGGGAGAACGATCGTGGGGGCGGGACGGTGGGGGCCGTGCGACGCGGAAGAAAACGTTCGTGGCGGAGGGGGCTGTGAGCGGGGCTCCTACTGGAGCGCTGGGGACGCGGGGGGGCTCGGGGTGACTGGGCTGGGCTACTCTGGGGAAGGGGGGGTGCCTGGGGGAGGTGGTGTGCGACGCGGAATAAAGCGTTCGTGGCGGAGGGGGCAGAGGGCGGAGCTCACGCTGGGGCGCTTGGGGCGCGGGGGGGCTCGGAGCAGAGAGCCACGGCGCGGGGGTCCCACTCTGGCGCTGTGGACGCGGGAGGGGGTGCGCGACGCGGAATAAGGTGGTCGGAGCAGACACCCTGTGCAATAGAATTCGCCGGCCCAACGAGCCAGAGGCGTGCTAAGATCTCCGGTAACTGGTTCACAGTATATTTCTATTTCGCGCGCGCGGGGCGGCCCCTGGGGGTCCCCAGAGGAAAAGTACCCCGGCAAGGTCCCGGGAGAAGCCCCCAGAGCGCTCCAGGAGCGCACCAACAGGGCCCCAGGAGGTCCCCGAGAGTCTCAAGACGGGCCAAGAGAGAGTCCCGAGAAGAGCCAAGAGCGCCCAAGAGGCTCCCAAGATGGTACACCAAGGGTCCGAGATGCCACAAGATCGCTCCAAGACGCCCAAGATGGCCCCCAGACGCCCCAAGAGGCCTCCAAGAGCACTCTCAAGAGGGCCCCAAGATGCAACAATCATTGCTTTCCCCTAGGTTTTGGACAGATTTTGGTGTTTCCACCTTTTCGGCTTCCAGACGCCCCAAGACGGCCCAAGAGGCCCCCAAGATCGCCCCAAGAGGGCCCATGAGGCCCTTAAGAGGGCCCCAAGACGGCTCAAGAGGGCCCCAAGACGGCCCAAGAGGCCTCCAAGACGGCCCAAGAGGGCCCCTAGAGCGCCCCAAGAGCGGCCCCAGAGGGGGAGCACGAAACAACAGTTCGAACCCTCGGTCCTGAGAGGCCTCCAGGAAGCCCCAAGAGGCCCCTAAGAGGCCCCAAGAGGCCCCCAAGAGCCCTCAGGAGGCCCCCAAGACGCCCTCAAGAGGCTCTAAGAGGCCCCCAAGAGGCCTATTGGAGGCCCCAAGAGGCCCCCAAGAGGCCCCCAAGAGGCCCCCACGGGCCGGCGGAATGAGCGCAGCGATTCAATACATACACACAAATCCCAGGATTCACTATATCTTCCTAGTTTCTGGGTTTTCGTCTCGCCCCCAAATCGAAGTCTGGATGCTTCGGCTTCCGGATCGAAACGCATCTTCGATGCGGTGCGCCTCGCGCCAGAGGCCCCGCGAGTGGGGACTCTGGCCCAACTGTAAGACGTCGAGGAAGCTGCAGCCGTGGGTCGAGACAGCGTCCATCCCTCGTTCCCCCCAAGCGGGGCTTTCCTCCTCCTTTTCCTTATTCTCCTCCTCCTCCTCCTCATCCTCCTCCTTTTCCTTCTCCTCCTCCTCCTCCTCCTTTTCCTCCTCCTCCTCCTCGTCCGTTTCCTCCTCCTCCTCCTCCTCCTGGGGGGGAGGGGGGAGGAGGGAGCCTTCGCCCTGACTTCAGCGGCGAGCGAGGGGGGGCGACGTGAGAAGGAGAAGGCCCAGACATAAGGCGGCGGGACTTCTCAGAAGCCCTCGTGCCTTCTGAGAGGTTGTTGTCTGTCTTCGGGTAAGGCTCAGAGAGCTTCTCCGAAGGCTTGGGGACTTCCGAGCCTTCTGAGAATGCCCGCCCATTCTCATTTCCCCCTCGCTCGGCGCCGAGAATGCCCCCCCCCTCGCCTGGACCACCTGACTTCGCGGGACGCGCTACGAGCGGCCATCTTCGCACCTCTGGCACCGCCGCCTTGGAGAGGGCAATCTCTCAAGCTCAGGCTGCCGAGCGCGAGGGGAGAGCATCTTTGCACCCCCGCGGGTGACCACGCTCACCCCTGCCCACCCCCTGGCGGCGCCCTAAAAAGGTGAGGCGCGGGGGGGCCAACTTCTAAGAAGGGGGGGGGCCGGCTTCTGAGAAGGCGGGCGGCTTCTTTGAGAGCAGCACTGGCTACCCCAAACCCTAATCCCAGGCCGCCAGGATAATGATGATGATGATGCTGCCGCTGGTGGTGATGATGATGCTTATGACGATGATGATTCTGATGAAGCTGATGGTGGTGATGATGATGGTGATGATGCTGCTGATGATGGTAATGATGATTCTGATAGTGATGATGATGCTGATGATGTTGATGATGTTGATGATGATGATGCTGATGATGATGGTACCGATTATGCTGCTGCTAGTGGTGACGACATGATGACGAGGGCGATGCTGATGATTATGACGACGATGATAATGGTCATGTCGATGACGATGGTGATGCCGATGACGACGATGATGGTGACGATGACCGATGACGATGACGACGATGAGTCGGCCAGTGGGGCCAATGTCCACGAAAGGTTTTTCGAACCCAACAATGTTCTCATAACGGGAAACCTGTTCTAAGAACATCAGCCCGATGCGTTCAGGCAAAACAGCCCCAGCCAAGCACGTTCTGAGAACATTTCGTGCAGACCACAAACAGTTCTTAGAATTATGTTGCTCTCATCGTACTTCATCCCAGAAATAATTTCGAGCACCCGGAAAAGTGTCGAAAGAGTGTCGACAAAGTGTCGAAGCAGTGTCGAAAGAGTGTCTCCCAGGGCCCGACACGTGAAAACCCTTGAGTTTTTTGGGTGATCAAGGCTAAAGTAGGTAGGAACATCCCAAGCTTAGAACATCCTTTGCTGGGCCTCCAGGCGGGCCAGGACGCTTCGCCACTGCTTGACTGAAGGGGCCCAGGGACATACAAATAAATAGACACAGATAACAGGACTCCCCTATACTTCCCCCTATTCTCTGGGTTTTTTTGTCTTCCCCCCATACTTCCCATATTTTTGCATCTCTTCTGGGGCATCGACGAGCCACTGTGTCTGTGTGTGCTTTTCCCTCCTGCAACCGCCCGCCCCGTCGGAGATCTCGGCCCCCCGCTGCCCGCCGCCGGCCGCTTGGCCCGCGCGGCCGCGCGTGGCCCCCTCTCGGGCGCCGCCGCCGCCCCGCCCGCGCTCGGAGCAGTGCCTCCCGCGCGCCGACAGGTCCTGCCGGGCGGCGCCCGCGCGGGGGTCCGCCGGCGGCCGCTGGCGACGGGCGCCGCCGAGACGACGAGGACGCCGGACGACATTGTGATGGGCGTGTTTTCCACCACCACCACCATAAGTTGGAGGGGGGGTCCTCCTCCTCCTCCTCCTCCTCATCCTCCTTTTCCTCCTTTTCCTCCTCCTCCTCCTCCTCCTCCTCCTCCTCCTCCTCCTCCTCCTCCTCCTCCCCCTCCAACTTATGGTGGTGGTGGTGGTGGAAAACAGGCTCATCAGATATGGGCGACGACGAGGACGGCGGCGACGGCGACGGCAGCGACGGGTGCCTGCGACGACGACGCCGGCGACGGACGGCAGGAGAAATACGACGAGGACGACGGACGGACGGATGAGGACGGCGGACGACGACGAGGACGACGGACGACGATGACGGCGGCGGCGGCGACGACAGCGACGGGTGCCTGCGACGACGACGCCGACGACGAGGACGACGGACAGCAGGAGGAATATAGTAGTCGGACTGACACCAATCGGCACTATCCGAGGTCTGGCGGCGCCGCTCATGGGGCCGCCATTGGCTCTCTTGGGGCCCTGTGTTGTTGGCTGCAAGGGGCCTTGGGACTATGATCGCCCCCCCGTCTGGGGTCCAAGTGGTCTGGTTGGTCCGGTTGCTCCAATTTGTGTCTGGTTGGTCTGGCTGGTCCGGCTGGTCGGGTTGGTCTGGGTGGTCCGTTTGGTCCGATTGGCTCGGTTGGTCCGATTGGTCTGGGTGGTCCAGCTGGTTCGGGTGGTCCGGATGGTCCGGTTGGTCCGAATGGTCCGGTTGGTCCAATTGGTCGAAGCGGCTGGTCCGGTTAATCATCCGATTGGTCTGGCTGGTCCAGCTGGTCCACTTGGTCCGCTTGGCACAATTGGTCCGGTTGGTCCGTTTGATTATTCTGGATGGTCCGCTTGGTCTGATTGGTCCAATTTGTTGGTCGGGTCGGTCTGGTTAGTTTGGTTTGTCTGGTTGATCCGGTTGGTTTGGTTGATCTGGTTGGCCCCGTTGGTCCGGTTGGTCTGGTTGGTCCAATTGTTCCTATTTGTCCGGTTGGTCTGGTTGGTCTGGTTGTTCCGGCTGGTCAGGCTGGTCCGGTTGGTCCGGTTTGTCAGGTTGGTCCGATTGGCTCGATCGGTTAGCCCAATTGGTCAGAGTGGTCAAAATGGTCCGATTGGTTCGGTTGGTCTGGCTGGTCTGGTTGGTCCGGACGGTCCGGTTGGTCCGGGTGGTCTGGCTGTCGCGTGGTCTGGGGAGTCCGGTTCGTCCGGCTGGTCCGGTTGGTCTGGTTGGTCTGGGTGGTCCGCGGAGGGTCTGGCCGGTTGGTCCGGGTGGCACGGATGGTCCGGGCAAGGTCTGGCTGGTCCGGCCGGGTGCATGGTCTGGGTGGTCCATATGGTGTGGGCAAATCGGGTGGTCCGGATTGTCTGTGTGGTCCGGGTGATTCGGGTGGTCCGGGTGCATGGTCTGGCTGGTCCGGCCTATAGCCTACAAGAGACGGTGTCTATCTTCTTGGCGTTTTCCTTCAAGAGGTTGCACAGTTTCTAAAATGATTCGTGTCTATTTCCTCGTGCCGCGCACGCTTTAGAAAACACAGGCAAAGAGACATAGACATGGACAATAAGTGTGGTTTTCAAAATAAACGCGGAACTATGATAAAATAAGCACGAAATGGAAACATGCATGGACACACGCGTAATACATGGACACGAACTAGACACGAACAGACACGAACACATATCCGGAGACGGGCTCGCGCAAGAAGGCAACGAATGATAGACACGCTTACGGGTGTCTGCATGTGTATACTAACACACGTGCGTGCACAGAAACATACACGTAATCCTGTACACATGCATGCCCGTACCGTCCTCGGTGCGCCTTCCCACTCACTCCTCTGGACTCTGGACTCTTCCACACTCCCTCGCTCTGCTCCCTACTCCCTACTCCTCGAGATTCCTCCTCACTCCATCTCACTCCTCGGTGCTCCTCCCGACGCCTCCCCACTCCATCGCACTCATCGATACCGCACTCCTTCCGACTCTTCCCCACTCCCTCGCACTCCACGGCGCCCCACTGCAGTACCCCCCCACACTCCATCGCGCTCCTCGGCACTCCTCCGCTCCCCCATACTCCATCGCACTCCTCAGCGCTCCTCCTCCTCACTCTCTCTCTCTCTCTCTCTTTCTGTCTCGTTCTCTCTCTCTCTCTCTCTCTCTCTCTCTCTCTCTCGAGAGAGAGATCTCTCCCATGCGCACATACATACATGTATGTACACATACACGTGTGTTGGTATGTATGCATACATGTATTATATCTATGTGTATACATGTTTACGCACGCATTTGCAGGTACAAATACGCACAGCAGACACGCACGAAACAATGACTCCCCAATGTGGATGCATCGCGGGAAAGTGGACACACGTTCCAACATATAGACACGACGGGACAGACAAGGATAGTTATGACACTACAAAAAAGTATACACGAATATACACTTAACTATAGACACGCCTCGCACAACTAAACTCGCGTCATGTTAGACGCGGATCGGCACGGAATAGACACGGACATACGAGGATATCTCAAGCCGATGGCGCAATCTCTATGACAATCCGCCGACCCCTGTCGGCATGTGGAAGAAGCTGTTCCGTTTAACTCGTTGTCGTCGTCGTCGTCGTCGTCGTCGTCGTCGTCGTCATTGTCGTCGTCGTCGTCGTCGCCTTCGCCGCTCCCCAACTTTCCCTAGGCCCCTTGTAGTTGAGTCGAAGGGAAGCCCCTTCCCTTCTGAGGTCCGCGGGGATTTCTCGGATCGGCGCTGGAGCCGCCACTGCGCTCCGCGCACCAAGAGAGGGGGGATCCAACACTGATCCTTATGTTGCATCCTCGGGGGACCTTGTCTGTCCCGTCGCGGCCTTATCCGCGTCGAATCCGTGTCGAATCCATGTCGGACTCGTCGGATCCGTGTCGAATCCGTGTCGAATCCGCGTCGAATCCACGCCAAATCCGCGTCGAGTCCGCATCGAGCCCGTGCCAGGTACAAGAAAAAACGCAAATTTTGGGGACAGGCCAGGTCCCCCGAAGATGCAACGTAATGATCCAAGACATCCGCGCGGACCTCAAGGGGACTCGAGGGCTTGCAGGAGAATGGCCCCGGAAGGGGCCCCCGGCGGCTTCTGGGCTGCCGCCGTGGGGCCCAGGACGTGCTGGAAGGGTGTTCGTGTCTTCGCCCCCCTCCGTTGACGCCTCTGCATGGGGGGATGTTCAAAAATAGGCAAAAAATGGTCTGGGCACTATCTCTTGAACATTTGTGGTCATCTTTTGAATATCTTGCAGTATTCTAAGTTTCTCGTCCCAAAGCCCCCTGCAAGGGGGACAGGCCCGACCTAAATTTATGATTATTTCTCTGCTTCTTCGACGCCCCTCGGGCCGGGCGAAAGGGGGGGAGTGCAAAACGGGGGTTTGAGAATCAGCTCACATAGCTGAGTTTCCCGGCGCCTCCCGGCGCCGGAGGCGGCCATGTCTCGAGGAATGGGCCCCTCGGTGGGGCTGAAACCAGCTGCATGCAGCAGATTTCGTATCCCCCCCTTTCCCTATTAAAACAGAGCTGGGATCGGGATAAATCGCTCCAGAGCGTTCCGGAGCGCTCTCAGAGCGTCCCGGAACGCTCTGGAGCGGCCGCGGCGCCCAATACATCCCCAAACCCGCCGATTCTCAGAGATTTCGGGTCATCCCGATCCGATTTTGTCCCGATCTTCGCGTCGTTTTACCTATCCCCCCCTCTCGTCTGGCGCGAGCCCCCCCCCCCCCGCGGCCGCGTGCCCGGGCGGCGGCGGCGATATATATATATATATATATATATATAATATATATATATATATATATATTCACACACACACACACACACATATATATATATATATATATATAATGCACTAAAACTTCTAAAGATGATCCAAAAATAGTCCCCAGACTTTTTTTTTTTTTTACTCTTTTTGAGTATTCCCCCTGTAGAGGAACAGGCCCGACTGAACCCCCCGCGGCTGCGTGCCCGGGCGGCGGGGCGGCGCGGCGGCGCGGCGCCGCCGCGGTCCCCGAGCGAGAGGCCGAGCACCCGCCGCGCGCGGTACTCGAGGCCGAGGTCGCCCAGGCGGCACGACGCGAGGAGGCCGTCCAGGTCCTCAGGGCGGAACCTAAGCGGTGTGTTCGTTTTCGGTTTTCTTTTCGTTGTTTCGTTTTCGTTTTGTTTTGTTTCGTTGTCGTTTTCGTCTTCGGTTCGGTTTTGTTTTCGTTTTCGGTTTCGTTTTCGTTTTCGGTTTTCGTTTTCGGTCTCGTTTTCGTTGTCCTCAGGGCTGAATCTACAGTCGGGGCGTTGACGTAAGGAACCCTGAATAAGGAACGAGGCCCCTTTTTCTCAGAAGTGAAGCTTCGGTGTCCCATGGAAAACCTCAGGAAGACCCGAGGCAAGCTGTGAAACTGTCAGGGAACACGGAGCCCCTCCCCAGCGAAAAGGGTTCCTTCTTCAGGACCCCGACTGTAAACGGTGTTTTCGTTTTCGGTGTTGCTTTCGTTGTTTCGTTTTCGTTTTGTGTTGTTTCGTTGTCGTTGTCGGTTTCGGATTTGCTTTCGCTCTCCCTCGTTTTGTCTTCAATCCGCCTTTCACGCAACACAGCATCGAAACGAACACGGCCCACGACATCGCCTAAACACCGTTTAGGTTCACCCCTGCAAGTCCTCTCCGAGAGGGCAGAGTGAGGGGGGGGGGGGGGGGCAACGTTCGGGGCGGGCGAAAAGGGGGGGATAGCAAAGGGGGGGGGGGGAGAATCAGCTCGCGTAGCTGATTTTCCGGGCGCCTCCCGGCGCTGGGAGGCGTCCCATGTAGCGAGGATTGGGCCCCTCGGTGAGGCCGAAACCAGCTGCCATGCAGCAAATTTCGTACCCCCCCTTTACCAAACCCCTCCTTTCGTCCGACCCGAAACGTGAGGGGGGAGGGGGAGGGGCAACGTGAGGTGGATGGGGCAACGTGAGTGGGAGAGCTACTGTCAGGGGCAACGCTGCCAGATGTTGTAAACATGTTAGCCAACGTGAACCCCAAACCTATCAGTAGATGTTGCGCAAGCAATGTGTATCAAGCCGTGTGGTTATTTACGTGGTGAAATTAATGTGGTGCAATCTATGTTGTGCAATTCACTTGCCGAGCTTGAAGTTGTCAACTCCACTGCTCGCGCAATCATCCCACCCACCCGCCCGCAACTTGGTTTGCAAAACCCATGCGGGACCGAGCACAGATATCGCTCCGGGGTCGTCTTGGAGCCCTCGGGGGCGTCTCAAGAGCGCCCCAAGAAGGCCGGAGAAGCAAGACGGCCGACGACGACGACGACGACGACGACGACGACGACGACGACGACGACGACGAAGACGGCGGCGGCGGCGACGACGACGACTTCGACGACGACGACGCCGACGCCGACGCCGACGCCGACGACGACGACGAAGACGACGACGACGTCGCCAACGAAGACGACGACGAGGGAGGAGGGAGGACTACGACGGCGACAACGACGACAACGACGACAACGACGACAACGACGGAGGAGGGAGGACGGCGACGACGCGAACGACGAAGAAGGAGGAAGGACGGCGACGCCGACGACGACAACGACGAGGGAGGAGGGAAGACGACGACGACAACGACGACGACGACGACGACGGCGACGAAATAGGAGGGACGACGACGAGACGCCGACGACGGACGACGACGACGACGACGAGGAGGAGGAGGAAGGACGACCACGGCGACAACGACGACGGAAACGACCACGACGCCAAAGAGGACGACGACGACGAACACGAGGAAAGACACAGGACGACGTAGGCGACGACGACGACGACGCGGGAGGAGGGAGGACGGCGACGACGACGACGACGACGACCGCAAGAGCGCGCGCGCACGCTTTTGTTGAAAATCCGTGTTGCGAAACCTTGTGTTTTTGTAAACCGATGGGTTTTGAAGGATTTCGGCGTACGCACGCGACGACGCGCGCGTCTGCACTTCGTCCCATTGTTTGCAGAGGATTCTCGCGACGGCACACGCGCAAGGGCGTTCGACAGATTTCGACATGCGCGCGCGCGCGACGCCCGTGTGGTAGCATGTTGTGAAAATCTTGAAAAATTAATGGTTTTCTTAAGATTTCGCAAGAGCTCGCGCGTAAGCTGTTTTAGCAAATCAGTGTTATGCAACCCTGTATTTTTGTATGTTTTTTGGAAACTCGATTGCGAAATCCTTCCGGCACCGAAGGTTTTTGAAGGATTTCGGCATGCGCGCGCGTCGTGTGCACTTCGTTCAATTTTTTGCAGAAAGGATTAGTGAACAAGTGCTGTGTTAGAACAAAAAATGTCCTCGCATAGTGTTTGTTTAAAAAGGTACCTCAGGGGGGGGGGAACCCGGTTGGCCTGGGACATTGTGATTTCATATTTAGGATGTACATGTGGTCATAATCATATGTGATTTACATACCCGAAAAGGGGTAGCGATAACGCCAGGGGGGGGTAGAGTCTATTCTCTTTTTAGAGAGGAGAACCTATGCCGTGCATTGTACTTTGACCACTCTATGCTGCGCAATGACTCCCGAAAAGAACTCAGATCTGTCAACTCCCATGCCCGCGCAATCACCGTGGGGGGGGGGAAACGGGCGGGCAACGCCACCGGCAACGTTTTGGGCGCCCGAGTTATCCGGGGTAACTCGGGTCCGGGGTAATTCGGGTTTGGATTCCCGAAAAACGAAGCCGAGTTATCCCTGACCCGAGTTACCCCTGAGGATTCGGGGCTCTGAACGTTACTCTTTTGCTTTGTTCTCTGACGTCTTCGTTGGTCCTCGACGGTCTTCCGGCCTCGGGATGCCCTCCGGCAGCTGCGCCTCGCCGAGGGGCGTCCCGGGGGGCCCGCATCGTCCCGAGCGGCCGCCGGAGGCCCGAGGTATGTCCCGAGAGCCACCGTGGACGTGGGGGGAGGAGGAGGAGGAGGAGGAGGAGGAAGAGGAGGAGGAGGAGGAGAAGGAGGAGGAGGAGGAGGAGGGAGGAGGAGGAGGGGCAGGAGGGGGAGGAGGGGGAGGAGGCGGAGGAGGAGGAGGAGGAGGAGGAGGAGGAGGGGAAGGAGGAGGAGGAGGAGGAGGAGGAGGAGGGAGGAGGAGGCGGAGGAGGAGGAGGAGGAGGAGGATGAGGAAGAGGAGGAGGGAGGAGGATTGCCGCCGAAATTGCCGCTCAGGGGCAGGGCACACCGAGCTGGAATCGGCGCTGCATCGCCGACGGTTCACCAAGAGGCCCCTGCCAGCGAGCCCGCACGGGCCTGGACGGGCGGGGCAAGTCTCTCGGCGAGCAGTGGGCGGCTGGGGATCGATGCCGTCACCCTCCGATCGGGAAGCGTGCGACTCTGAGGGGGCCCTGGGACACACAAATGGATACACACAAACAACAGGATTCCCTGTATTTTCTAATATGTTCGGTGTGTTTGTCTTCCCCCACACTTCCCATATTTTTTCCCCATGTTTTTCTGGGAGTCGACGATCACTTGTGTCTGTGTGTTTTTTTTCCCCTCCTGACACTTTCTTTTCCATCTGCGGTGTCTGTTTGGGGTTAGCTGGCGCCGCCAGAGGCGACGCGTCGGCACCTCCAAAGTTGCACCGACGACCAGAAAATGAAGCTGTCAGGTGCCTGCGCGCAGCTCCATCGAAAGACAGGGGACCTGGCCCAAGAACATACAGTCGGGCTGCTCAAATAAGGAACGTGAAATGAGGAACGAAGCCCCTCTGTGGCTTCAAAAAAGCCTGGGTGCACGAGAAGGGCCAGAGGAACAACCACGGAAGGACGTAAGGAACATCGAGCCCCTTCCGAATCCAAACTGTTCCTCATTTCAGCGTCTTGGCTGTACTCCAGTTGGAGGTCGATGCCTCCCCACCCTGAGCCCGACCTCCTCCCGCGAACGTTGCCCCCGGTCTCTGGACTTCTTGGGCGGCGCGCGGGGCCGGCCCACCCCACGCGCCAGGTGTCATCGGCATTTGGAGTGGCCCCCTCGCGTCGTAGAGCAGATCGCGGCGAAGATGCTTCGAGGCCCTCCAGGCCCTCCCCGTGGGCTCCTTCCTCCTGCCTGGTGTCTGTGCAGGGCCAAGGCAGGGTGAAGACAAGTCTCGACGAAGGCTAACTTGGGATCGCTGAGAGCTGGCGGGTCTGCAGGACGTATGGGGCGCCGCGGCCGTTTCAGAACGCTTTGGAACGCTCTGAGGGCGTTCCGACTGTTCTGGGGCGATTCAGCGTATGCTCCTCGTACGCCTGCCTGGTGATTGCTGTCCAGCTCGCGCTTGGTCTGATACATACTCTTTTGAAAGTTTTGCATTTTCCTTCGGTTTCGGCCCGAAAGACTCGTCATCGGGCCCCGAGACGACAATTACACGCAGGTCTGGGGCGACAACTGACCCCAAGGAAGGGGTCGGGACCTCTGGGGCCGCACATTGAAATAATCAGGTCGGCGGCTGTCATCGGCTGCACGTAAGAGTGACCCTGGGTAAGAGTGACCTTTGGTGCGCTGCGTTCTGGGGGCCGAGGGGGGACCAAACCCGGGCGCGCAAGCCGCGGCTCCTGCTTCGTCTTCAGCCATCTGGGGACCCGTCCGTGCCCGCACCAAAGGCCACTCCGGCGGAAGGTCACTCTTACGTCTAGGCGATGTCAGGGGCCATAGCACCCGGGCCCTGCCACTGCTGCTTGCGCGCGCGCGCCCTTGCCTCCTCGGGCCCACGTGCGGCTCCACCGGGCCTCGTCCTCCTCGGGCCCAGGCCCGTCCAGGACCACTCCCCCTGGCGCCCCCTTCCCGGGGCCCACCCTGGCCGGTTTCCCGCCCTGGAGGTGACGGCCCGGAGGAGCCGACGCGGGCCTCTCCAGAGGCCCGAGCGTGCCATGCTCAAGAAGTGCGACCAAAAGCTGCAGGGCAGTTTCCCAAACATAGGATTTCTAACATATCGGATTCTTAATACATGATGAATATAAACAAATCAATTGATGCAGGAACTCATCGTTGATTTTTCATACTGAACCCTGCATGTTTAATACATGATCCGCACGCGGAGCATGTTAAAAAAACGGCACAGTAGGCTCCACCGCGGTAAAAGCAGCTTGAGCCGAGCATTGTAA